TCAACCTTTGTTACTAATTACATTGTGCGTTATGCAATCGTTTTTTTCTTTTTTCATATTTTTTTAATATATGATAGATCTCTAACGAAACGAATAAAGAATTCGCGAGCTAATTATTAAGAATTCTAAAGAATTTTTATACTAATTTATTTCGAATAATACGTAGATAATTATTAATCATTTATAAGAAATTTAAATATAAAAGAATGTGAAAATATGGAATATAAAATATGAAAAATGAATATTTACAGCGTGAAATATTCATCGAATCGTTCCTTAGACGTTAATATACAATAATAAATAATTCGAACTTTTTCAAATCCTCAAATCCTTCATAATAAAATTCCAAATGTTATATTTCTAAATTGTATCAATTTATCAGTATAATAGTACACTTACGCACCAGAGGTATGCATTTGCTACGCTCCAAGATATATATTTCACGACGCTTTATCACGGCCGGTAATACGGTGGATCGGACATTGAAAGTCTCGTGAACGTTCCTTTTTCATCCCTCTAGGGCTATCGTGGCTGATATATCGGAGGAACGTAGCCGTAGGAAGTAGTCCTTACTAGAGAATCCATCCTCCAGCTTCCCCGCTGGCAGCCGACCATCCTGACGAGATGGACAGGTGGGTGGACGTCGGTGTAACCAGGAGAGAAGGGAGATTCTCGAGGCTTAACGTATCCTCGTAATCCTTTCATCCCTTTTCCCGATGCCACTGTCGCTCTTCAACATTTTCCACGTGATTTCGGAGTCACTGTTACTGTCCCTAGCCTATTTCCAATCCCGCTCAGTGGTAATAATACCACTTTTGGTCGCTTTGGTCAGGTGAAATCAAGCTAATGAAGCGGCGATTAAACACGAGCTACACCTCGAAACGATGGCCATTCCTCTTCATCAATTTTTACCGAGCAAACACCGCCATGCCCTTCGATCGCCTCGTTATTAACGGCATATCGTCGCATTTATCTTTCACGCGCGTTTAAAAACTGTTGACACTGCACTCGAACGCGTTAAACATTTCACATGCGCATATTGCGCTGAATAATGCAACGCGCCGTGTCTCGAGCGGTGACCACGATTCATAACCATCTCTCCGGTTATTTTTTTCCCCCTTCGATGCTTTCACAGGAGACACGCGTATAAACGCTTTTTCATCTCTTCACAATGTCTTTTCCCTCTTATCAGGAAGGAAAGGAAGGAATCGATTGATTTCGAGCATTTATTAATTCGTAATCCTAATATTTCTTCTGTTACCTCGTGTATTGTGACCGCGATAGATACAAAATTCCCCGTATAATAATCTCGTAATCCGCTATTGCAAAAATTAAATTTATATTTATCTATTTTTTCCAACGAATATCGATTACATTGATATTCTGAAAGAAGAAAATTCCGATCGAGAACAATTTGAATATTAAAGATAATAACTTGAATCTGTATTATAAATATTATATCCATTTGCCCAAAATCCGTCCGACAGTTTCATTAAATTTCGATCTTAATTAACCAAATTGTATGATCGTAACGACGACAACCTCGAAAATTTCAATCAAACCCGAAAGCGCGATAATGTGAGCGGGATCAAAAC